GCGGACGAGTTCCTCAGTAAACTGTATCATTGTGGTGTCTCTATATCACTAAATTGTGTGCAAGTGTATTCCCAAGTATGTCACCAATTCAGAACATAAACTCAGGTACAACACACCTGTTCTCTTAGTGGGCACCCCTGACACATACCCGTAGGCCCTTTTATACCCCTATTTGTCTATGCATATGTGGGATAAATGGACACCTAACCTCGCAAGCGCGTGCGTTTGCAGCCTGAACAAATGGCTTATCCAATTAATGTGGTGGTGTGGTATGTTAAAGTCAGAACCAAACAAAATACCAATGGGAAAAATACAGGTTTGGTTTGGGGTGCGAACTCGGCCCGCAAAACAGTCCTTTCGGACATTTGCCATGGGTCAAGCTTCTTCCTGAAGGGGAACACGACGCATTGATATTCGCAGAGTCTGCAACCGTGTGCGGATGGGATGAAACTGATTAAAACGGAACGACAGACAGGCCATGATGTGCGGTGGTCTATCTTTCCAACACACACGCGGCAATGAATCAGCCCATCAAGATATATCTACCCTTCTGAAGATCAGCATGGAACTCAAACAGCCTGACGTTGCTTGGGGCATCTCGTGTGTGAGGGTGAGAGAAAAGGTTGCGTGTTTCTTTGGAGCTTCGACTCACACTAGGCTAAACGTTGATGGCACTAATCCCTTCATGTCCGCAAAGAAAGATGATGATGAAACCTATATGGGGACGTTGCGCCATTTGCTCTTTCTCTGATTTCTCTGTAAAGAATCAACAGCTGCCAGTGGTCCGAGAGGCCCATCCTCAATGGGCTCCGACTCCTCGCTCGAAATCATCTCCATGGACTCAGCATCCGCGGTGAGGTAGAACCACACCGCGTCATTCCAGGCCAAGGTCAACATGGGCGAAGGAAGCAAGCCGAAGGCTTTCCCCAAAAACAAAACACGGCTGATCCCGAACCCAATTTTTCGTAATTCGGAGAAGGACCCCACAAGGGAAAGACATTCTACATCTGGGATGCAGGATTGAACTGTAAAAGAAACTTCTTAGAAGGCTTGATTGAAATTGTTATGAGAAGTTCAGCAGCCATTTTGCGTCTGACTCCTTTGCGCACAAAGCATCGACACTTGATTAAAGACTCCATGCTGAAGATTTCAGAACATGCTCCACCCAGAACAAATATGTGCTTGAAACGCCAGAGTCAGGAAACAATTGACCGTCAAGCTGCCAAAGAACCCTATGCATACCGTCGGGTTTGATCCGCAAATGGGCTCCGCCGAGTCAATTGCTGTAACTTGCTGAGCTGGTACCCGTTTTGGTTGGGAAAGGGAACCAAGAGTCCACCCCTTTTTGGGGGCCCGCCATTTGGGTGCGCCAAAAGGAACACCAAAACCCATTTTGGGGGCTCCGACTCCTGCCCTGAAGCCCTGAAGGCGTAGTCAGCAACCTCTCAGAGAGCAGCTTCGGGCGGTTTCTCCTGGGTCCTCGAAAAACACCACAAAGGCTACCCTCCAAGACACCTCTCAAACTACCTACTTGCCGACCATCTTGCCTCCAAACTTTGGGGGGGGGGGGGACGGCTTCCCGCTTCCCATGCTTAAGGGTACGGCAGGGGCTCAGGTGCCGACAAACACTAAGCCATGAAGAACAATTCCCTGGCCCAGTCGATGCCATTCGGGCAGTGCTGCATGTCATCATGGGAAACCAGCAGATAGCGTTGAAGTCAATCACTTTGGGAAACTTGCCTCTGCAAATCATGGAGAGAAAAAAAGGTTCAACCCAAAAGGAAGGTTCTTCTACACCAGCCCCAGGGAGACAGAGGGGAGCTGGGGCACACTGAACTGCACCGATCCCAACTGGCAAACCAAAGTCCTTCAGTTCTTTTTGTTTCACATTGAACAAACCTGTATCTGTTTCGGACGTCTGCATCCAAACTGAAACACACTCGGCCCATCCACCCGAATTCGAAGTCTTTTGACCCGCTATGCTTTCGCCATTTGCATTCAAATTCGACGCGGGGCTTCCGCACCCTGCACCCCCAGACCTCAAGAGCTGGGTTGAGCAAGATTTGTGTGCTCAGCTTGTATTCGGGACAACAGGGCGACTGGTTTTGCTTGGATTAAGGGGGAAATCAATGCACCGCTCAACAAGTTGCTTCAGAGGGAGGGCACCTGGGCTTCTCCCGGCTTCAAGCCACAGAGAATTGGGAGTGATCAAGCGGAACGTGGACTCCAAACCTCCAAACCTCCCAACTGGCCCCCAGAGGGTCCCTTGGTACCTCCTGAGGATGGCTTTTGGGAGTAAAAAGGGGTCTAAGTACCTCCTTAGAAGGTGCTTGGACCCTCTGGGGGCCAGCAACAAAACGATGCGCAGTGAAAAATATCCCGGCGCCTGATTTTTTGGTGTAGGCTGGCAGTGGACTTGACTCCCCATGTGGTGTCCATTCAAATATGCTACTTACGTCCTTTCCTTGCATCTGGAGTACACATAAACTAATTCATATGTTCGGTTCACAGGGCACACATTCACTAAATGGCTCTGATTATGTTTCATTTGTTTGGACCCTGCTACTGTTTTTCAGTGTTCGGAACAACAAACTGGGCGCAAGGCCGGTTTGTTGCTGTCCAAAACAAAAGTCCATGCAGGCGTATACTTGGTGTATGGCCACTAAGGGGGAAGGTGTGTGCTTGGAAGTTTCCTGTTGGCTTGTTTGCTCCTGGAAAATATCCAAGTAAGGCTTCCCGTGTCATAATGGCTTCCTGAGGGAAGCGCCTTCAAACCATCCAAATTCCAACTGGGTATCAAGGAACCCCGAGTAAAGGAAACATGGGCAAGGTTGTTTTCATCGCAGGTAAGTTGATGATAACTTCTGCAGAAGAGTTACATTCATGAGACTAAAACCGGTGGTACATTCTGTGCAAATCTGAAAGTTGAACCAAACAACCTTGTCAGGAATGCGGAACACGTAAAACCGCTCGGCTATCCCTTTGGCTTCCCTTTGAACACCATCAGTAAAGGGATTCCCGATTTGTGCAACTTGGCTACGATATGGCTACCAGTTGCCGCGTTTGACATGGAATCATTCGCAATTCGCTACTTTTCTAGCAAAGCAACCAAAAAGGACACCTGTGGCAACATGTTGGAGGAGAGCCCATTGGGAAGCTGATGGGTTCTACGACAACTCTCACCACAGGGCACCAGCTCAGCGCCGTTGATCAGATCCAGAGCAGGGGCACACCAGTTGCATTGCACACGCGCTCCCACTGCTCCTGGAAAGAGTCAGGAATCTCCAAAACCAGGAACCAACAAACCCAAAGGTGCATAGGGACAAATGTGTTTGATTGATGTTAGTACGGTATACTACCAAGAGGGTCGTCGAGGTCTGTAGGGTGCGGGTCCGAAAAACCGCTATTTTCCGAAGAACAACAAAAACCTAGGGTGGACTAGGCTGATTTCTGCCGAACCGTATCTTTTTTAGGGGCTCTAAAAAACCCCGTCAGTGGCGAAACAACTGCCCAGGTTTTCATGGCAAGGAAAGCAGCTGCTGGTCTGGATGTTGAACAGGGTCTGGACAAAACAATACCAATCCCCTCCCTTCTCGACAAAACGTGGATTCAGCACTCAGGTTTTCTTAAAGGCATCAAGATATACCTGATATACCGTCTATTCCAACAATCATGGAAGTGGACGGGGATTCTAGAGAACAACTTGTCGTCCAACACCTTCCTGTCACCTTTGCTATTTGAAGGGAGGCTACTCACGGTATGGCTTGGCAAACACAGCTACCGCCATACTATATATTAGGGGGGCCGTGGCAGGACAAATGGCTGTGGGTCAAGCTTAAACTACCATTGGGCCTCAGGTTCAATCTAGGTTTCCATTTACCAGGGTTCATACCCAAAATGGGTACATATTTTTGACCCACTGCCAAATGCGGAAAACTCTCCATCCTGCGGAATTCTTCATTTTTCGCGCTGTCCCATTTGCTCATTCGGGACCCGTGCGAATGCACTGAATCGGGGCCCGCGCACCCGCGGACCCGCGGACCCGCGGATCGCTTCGCCTGCCGCATGGCATCGTCCACGCGGATGACGTGGCAGGCGCCGCTCAGCTGCGCCACGCACAACTCCAGCGGCGCTGAAGCCGCGGCCATGGCGCGAGGTGCGCCAAGATGTGAAGAAGCCAACACGTGAAGCAAACCAAGCAAGTGACCATCTCTCTGTTGCTTTCTGCCTGCTAAAAGTGACTCACTTTTAGTGGTTTAATGGAAAGCCATCAGTTGGCAAAAAGTTAAAGTCCTAACATCCAAGCAAAATCCACCAAAGTCTTGTGGTTCCTTTTAGGGGAAGGTGTTTTGAGTGAGAGGGTGACCGAATTGGGGAAGCTAAAAAGTTCGCTTTCTGCATGTTCACTTTGGGGAAATGTTCAGCACTGGGGAAATGTTCAGCACTGGGCTTGCAGCTGAGTTCTAAGCCAAATGTTAACATGTCCATTCCGTTGTTCGAAAAGAAGCATTTCAGGCGAAAAATCCAATGGGTTTGTCTCAAAAAAAAAAAGACACGAAATGGGTGGTTCCCTTTTGGGCTCCATTTAAAGGAACCCATTTTCATGCGCATGCTTTGTCCAATCTGTACAAGGCACATTCTGATTTCGACCCTAGAACTATTCGTTACCGATTGACAAAGCGACCCCAGCATGACCTGAAGGCTCGCTTCCTAGGAGAAAAACAATCCCTTCTTGTCGCTGCTCGCCTTCCCGTCCCCCCCGTGTTTCAGTGAGTTGCAAACGAATCCTGGTCAGGCCCCTTCAAGTTCTCACCCTTTGACTCTCTTTGTGGAATCAAAAGCTCCCACAACCGAAATTTTGAAGGACCAATCAATCTGAAACAGATTGCAAAACGAGTGATTTTTTGAAGGATACCAATCTGCACTCGCTAGGGCTTCTTCAAGGAGAAGCCGGTTTTTCCCCAGCGAGTGCAATCTGCAGCCTTTCCTGGGCGCGGGGCTTTCTCCTTCTCGTCCTTGTCCACAATCAGCTTCATGTAGCCCATGTCCTCCTATGCGACTTGCCCGAGCTCGAAAGCTGCCGTATAAACCGGGATCCGGATGCATTATACACCTGAACATTGCAACTCGTAGATGGCGGTGTCCTTTTATTTTGGTGTTGAAAAAGCCCTGCTTCAAATGGTTGCAAAATGTATCTTTTAAGGAGCCCTGATAAAAACCAAAGGATCCCGATGTTTTGTGTTTTTTACTGTAACGGGTTGGAAAACCAGCATTGGGTTGTGGGTTACAATAAAACATGAGATTTAGTCATGGTCATGCAGGGTAAACTAGTACTTAGTTCGCCCCTTGTACTACCCAACTTGGTTTGGTAATTGTTTGTTTCGGTTCGGAGCAACCTACATGTGTATGTTGCTCAGAACCAACCGTAGTCTGGCATCGCCTTTGCACTTCTGTGGGCCAAACCAGCCTTCCCCATGAAAAGCTCTGCAGCTCAAGGGGGGCAACGGCGATCCAGGACACAGAACCTTAGGGAGTTGATCCAAATCACTCTTGGGGCAAAGACCTACTGTAATATTGATCCACCAGGTTGAGCAATCCGGGGTCGACATGAAGCCGCCCCCTGGCATTGCACAAATTGAGACATGGCTGCGTCTCATTGCGCGAACGGAATGGTTGAGCCCCAATGGCAGGTGTCACCTGGACAAAATACCTGGATGCGCATTTGGTTTACACTGTGTACAAAAACCTGAAATACGGGATCACCAAGTACACGACCTACATCATAGTCGGCTCGCTTTACCCCCTGAGCTCCCCACACTATAGGCGGATGAGACAGTGTTTCAACACAGAGTTTTTCAGGGCAGCACAACAGGTCCCATTTGTCGTGTGCTTTCTGGGGTCTCCAAGTGTTTACAGCCTCCTACGTAGCTCAACTTCGGCTTAATCCAGGGGCACCGAGGGGGTGGTTCAACCCTCTTTAGGGGGCTCCTTGGATTAGGGTCCTCCGAACCAATCTAAAGCCCATATAGCTTCGATGGGACGCAGTGGCGCAGCGGAAAAGTGCAACAAAGCTCGGTTCTCCGGACGAAACCATGCGGGAAAAACCCGAAGGCGGCCAAAGGTTCAGCGTATAGTTGTCCCTAGGGACTGTGATGTCTGTAAGCCCTGATAAGACTACACTCCAACTCTCTTTTTCCTTGGCCCTCTGGTGTAACAGACAAATCACACATCTTCTGAGTCTGCCTCATATTTCGTCAATCTCTCAGACCTCCCTGACCCCATCGAGAGCGGAGGTCCGAAGGCCTTCCGCTCGGAGTTCAAGTTCCACTCGAGGGGCTGCGCGCTGGCATGGTACACCTGCAGTTTCTTCCTTTGCCTTTTGCCTTTTGCCTTCTGCCTGTGGCCCCCACGGTTTCGTCTACCCTCCATTTGCGTTTTCGCGCCTGCGAAAAAAGTAGCATATTTCCAGTAGTGATAGATTCCCTTTACTACTAACAGGGTCAAGTAGCAAACATTCTTAAGCAAATGGAAGTATGGGTTTGTGGCAAAATAGGGTTCTGTACCCCCAAGAAGGTGGTTTTCTTGTTGGTGGCCTGTACCCTCAGCACAAGGACACACCCCTATTTTTTTGGAAGAGACCAAAGCCAGCGGGAATGTAAAGTTTGACCAACCCGAACAAAGGGCGCCCCTGCAGGTCTGTGAGCAGTGTCCAGGCCCAGGGTCAGGTGGGACTTTGGTTTTCGAGATTCCAGCATCGCTCGAAAGATTAACAACCAGAGAGAGTTCGAGTGGGAGTGGGTTTGTGAGGCAGTTCCAGTGATCTAGTCATTGAGAGCTCCACTGTACGAACAAAATGCGATGGGGATATGCAACAAACAAGATTCCTTCTCAAGATTCCTATGACATCCCAAATCTGCAGCCTACTTCCCCAAGGCGATCGTTGTCATGGTCAATCTACCACTGGGCTCAGTTCCCGACTGGACTCAAAAAAATGAAGTATGAACTTTGCAATTATCACTAAAATTGTCTTTCCAACAATAATCAAGTTCATGAAGTCAGGAAGTGAGGGGTGTTTCCCAGCAAAAGCGGAATCTCGAGAACCCCCCCGGGGTAGTGGAACAAAGGTGGGGTCCCAAAACCTTTGGTGGGAGGTCGGGATAAGAAAGCTCGAGTCAAGCTGATTCGGGGAATTTGCCGTCAGCACCCTTCCTGCGTCACTAAAGGTCTTGGCGTTTCAAGGGCCCGGTGGAAAAAGGAGGCAGTGCCCCTGTAGAAAACGGGGCCCCGTTGAGGCAGGGTCGTGAACCCATGAAACGAAGAGATCATTGAATAGACATCCCATTTGCCAAAACAGGTTCAACAGTAGAGGGAACAACCAGTTGTGCCCTTTAAACCAACCTCCAAAAAACCTTTCCCAACAAAGAACAACACAGACCCATATGACAACATAGGCATATATAGGCATATTTCCCAGGAAAAAACAGGCAGCATGACGAAGCCTCTCGACGTTTCGCTTGGATTCGCCTTCACGCGGTCCTTGCCCAGGGATTGCTTCGCCTCCTCCTCCGAATATCCCACCTGAAACCGTGGGGAATGGCGAAGTCAACATAAAGAAAAGGGATTTAGAGGTATTTACGGGTAGAAACGGGAATGGAAGGTTCTATCCCTACATTTTCCCTGGAAAACCATCATTTTAAAGGGGAACATCAAGATGGGAATGGAAGGTTCGATCCCTATGTTATCCCTGGAAAGGCATCACCCGAAAGGAGACTCCGTTTTGAAGGGGAGCCTAAAGGTCATGTCTGCATCATTCCAAGGACATATTGGGAGGCCTATATTTCGAGGGACCTCAAGGATTGCTTTCCTTTTCTCCCCTGCAGACAGCGTCCCAAGTTTGGACCCGGCCCTAGATTTGTCATTTCACTCTGGAGCAAGTCAGCCTTTGTTGGACAGGTTCAGGCACTCTAGGTGTCGGGTGTGGTCGGATGACTCCGGATTCAGGCACATTGCCCTTGGCGAGTCTTGTTGCATTGGCCCTACGAATCGTGGAACGTTTCTAAAAGGCCCTTTCGGAGCGAGCAATTCGAGGCGTGCTCTCACCACGCATCCTAGCCGCCGGCTAGGAAGTGGGGGTGGGCGGATCTGAGAAGTGGTGGTTTCTTTCCAACACATCGAACATCATTTAACACATTGATCCCGCCTCCGAACAAAGAAACTCGTCAAGTGCAGGCTCTGCCGCACACTGCCAAATATGCGAAATCATATTCAGTCCAAGTGGCACATCCATATTCGAGTGGAGTGAAAACGGTCGTGGCGACATCTGTGTAGTCCATCTTCCTTGAGGAAATCAAAGACCCCTTTCCCCCGGAGAAAAAAAAAAAACACACACCAAAACTAAGCACCTTCTTGGGGTCTTTTATACCCCCCCACGACATGTCTCTTGCTTCCTCTCCGGCGGGGAAATAGAACAAATCGGACCCCCGAGCTCCGTGATTTCCCTTCAGCTGAAGCCCTGGGCCGGAGAGGGAAGCAAAGCGATCAACGCCTTCCAGAAAGAGCTGCCATTGGGGTCGTGCGCTCGGCCTGAGGAGTGGTGCCTAGGTACTGGTCCCTGGGCTTTTTTCTGATAAGCAAGTCTCAACATCACGCCAAAAGAACTTCCTTCAGGAAATACCTAATGCCTCAGGGATACCTCACAGAACCCTTCCTCAAAGAACACAGATGAACACAGAAGCATCAAGATTAGCTCACACGATGCTGTTCCTAGTCTGGGGCATCTGGCGGCAAGTGGGCTCTGCGATCTGAACATCGTGCACGTATCAAAATGGGTCCCGGGGCCCCTTTGGCTCCCTTTGGCTTCATTTTGCTCACTGCCACGTGGGCATCAACCAAGACAGGTGTTAATGTTGATCTCACAAATCCCAAAGTAACATGCATCCGCGAAGCCAAAGCACACCCAAGTTGGAGTGGCGCGGATGGGATCCGACCATCGCAATCAGCTAAAGAAGATGTAAGGGAAAGGCGAGTTCCGCTGTTTGATTTCGCGTGGTTTGTGGAAACCAAAAGCAAACCCCCTGCGCTTTACTTGGAAAGGGATCGGGATCAAACTCTACCTTTCCGCCTATCTGGAAGATCAGTTCCCTCTTAAAGGTACCCCCTGTCAGGTGTCGTGCTAGTGAGGTAAACCCTTCCAAAGGACCACTTCCAAAATGCAGGGCAGGCTGCCATTGAAGCAGCGTCCACTGTTTGGGCCCACTGGTTACAACCAACCGGCGCCCAGCCATGGTTGATAGGCGCTCTCTCTCTCTCTCTCTCGCTCTCTCTCTCTCTCTCTCTCTCTCTCTCGCTCTCTCCCGCTCTTTGCCCATGAAAAGCATCACCCCCGGGAGGAAACTCATCTAACGCTTCAATGATGCAGACCCAAGGAGAGCCATTGGAAGGTCATGGAGTCTTCGCCCAGGCCAAGAGAAATGCCTCTAGCATTTCACAATACTGACCCCTAGCGCGCAAACTAACATGAGTGAATTCGTGTCCTCACGGAAAAAAAAAAAAAAAAAAAAAAAAAAACATGGCAAGCTGCAGCAACCCCCCCCGCCAAGTGGTCCACAAGTGGCAACCTGAAGCCCCCAGTGTCTGTGCCAAGAGTCTTGGTCGCCCCTCCGAAGAGCCGTCGGCACAGCAGCTTGCCAGCCTAAGCAACATGGGAGTCCAAGCGCCATTCAAACAGTTGGGCTCATGCTGTAGAGGGTAAAAATGGATGAAGCCCTGTAAACAATGGGTGAATTACCAACTGGCGCAGGCATTTGCCCAGCAAAACTAGAATCATCATTGTTTGCCTAGGCAACTCATGATCTAAATTGGAACAACCATTGTTGGAATCCTAATCTGGGCTAAAGCCCAGGGAAACAGTGCCGCTGGGGCTTGGGGCTGCGTGCAAATTACTCCCCGGACACGAAAAGGCCGTGCCGGTTCTTGCCACAAATTCCTGCGGCCCCCAAAAACCCGGTCCTAGCAGCCAGTTGCTAGAACCAAAATTTAGGGCGCAACTGAGAAACAGACTCGTTGCACTTGTTTTCATGACTCCTCTCGCCAGGGCCACCGCAAAAAAAATCATCGGGCTCGGGAAATAAAGCGAGGACTTGCCGACATCTCGATTGGATGGGCGCTGAAAGGTACCGCTGGTTTATGAACTAGGTTTCTTGGTTTGTGCTGGCAACATGCCAAGCATCTTCCTCAGCAAATATAATTTTACACGGCTAAACCGGGTTCCCAAACGTATAAAGTCCGGAACCCCGCCGAGTATGGAAATGGTGGCACGTCGGCTCATGCTCACAGGGTCTGGAAGATTCCAGGTAGGCACTGGTAAGACTTCGAGTCGTAAGTTTCTAGCCCCGACTTTCAACTTAACATCGTCCTGCAGCTTTACTCAAGCTCCGGCAGTGGCGTCCACTTGTGTTTGATTGAGCACGATGCAGTAGAAAACAACATGGCGAGGATGTTCAATCAATTTCTGTACTTGAGGTAGGCATGGAGTTCATGCCGTCCTTTAGATTTGGATTTCCCTTCAAACAACCCCAAAAAGGTGCACCCTCAAACAAATCACACATACCCCAGTAACTCTCATTGTCCCATCGTCACGAAGAACATTTGGTGTCCCAATTGACATGCAACCCGACAGGGTTAAGGAAAAATGGTCTTCCAGGATCCCCAAACAAAAAGCCGTCAGCTAGGTCCTCTTCATGGTACCCCGGTGCCACTGGCCTGGATGGCCACCGGGGTGAGCTCCGGCTTGCCCTCGATGACCTAAGTCGCTGACGCGAAAAGTGGACACTGCATGTTGATTCATTGTCTCGGTTGCTTTCTGTTCCCTTGCTAGAAGTGAATAACTTTGAGTGGTTTACTGGAAAACCCATTAGTTGTCAAACAGTTAGAGTCCTAAGCTAGTTCTAACATCCAAGCAAAATGCACCAAAGTTGTGGTGAAGCAGTGCTTCCCCCCCCAAACAAAAAGGTCACACAACTGCAAGCTCACACAAAGCAACCGAGCTGTTGCTGGGGAAACCAAACAAATCGGTTCCTCCCCTACCAGCTGAGATCACCGAATCCCAGCTGACCCATTCCACTTCAACCATTGCTCCCTTAAGCCCGCTTCGCAAGTCCGGAACCGCAGCGCCCTGTAAGGGCCCCATTTCATGACACAAAGCTCCATAAGCCCCAGGATCAACTGGTGACAAGGCAGTTGCACATTTACTAGCCAGCACACCAGCGTAAAACACTAGCACATGAGGGATGATATGAGCCGTGAACAAAATTACTTGCTTCCCCACGAGGCCCTACCCTGACCTTTTGCGGGAAATTTGGGTGGGCCCCCCAAGTTCCAGCATTTGTGTAGGGAGCGGGCAGGAAACAGAAAGTGTTTTCAGGGCAAAATTGTAAACACCCTGGCTACGGATGGAACAGGGGTCCTTCTGTTCTTAACAACTGCCCCCGATTCGGAAACACCACTCAGCATTCAGCATGACTTTGCAGGTAACAAGGGCTAGATATTATTGCAAGAAGGAAGCAAGGTCTATTGGTATGCAGCAGACAATGTGACTGGTTCACTTGCTATGTTCAAAGAATCCCCAGAAAGCAGCCAGGGCACATCGCCAATGGCAAAGATGTGAGGGACGCTGGTCTGGTCTCCATCATTCACATCCTCAGCTCAGCTCTAGGAAGCACTGTGGCGTGTCTCTTTGGAGGGTGGTCGTCTTTGGGAACGTCTGTTGGGAATATCTTTGCGGAGGCCTTTGGGCATTCGCGGGGGTGTCTTATGGGAATAGTGTTATTTTTCTTTCGAAAGTTGGTTTTGTCGGGGAGGACCCCTCCACATGCAAAGCGCATTTAGGAAGCCAGCACTTTAAGGGTGGCAGTGTCTAACGGTCTGAGGGCAGCCTGATAACCGATCGACTGAAAAGCCTGGAGGTTGCCATGGGCAATAGGATGTCGTCTCCTTCATGTTGCTGTATTGAGCAGGGTTGTGGAAATTGCAACGGCTTTTGTGCCCATGGAAGGCCATTGCAAAGACTCGAATGGGAAGGCTCTTTTTTGAGACAAGTATGACAAATGGCCTTTCGTCGCCGCGTCCCCAAAGTTTTAAGCATCACGTGCCCAAATTCAGGGGTCGGGCCCTCATTTGAGGGTCTTGGAGACTCCAGGCAGTGGGACGTGCCTTACAGCCGCGCCCGCTTTCAGGTCTATAATTGGTCAAAGTCACCCTCCAAGTGCGGTTTTCAGAGGACACAACCCCAAACCTGGTTTTGGACCTCCAGTGTACTTGTTGATTGCTGGGCCCAAAAGAACTGGCTGGGGAAAAAAAAAACAGCGTCCCTGTACCCCAGTGACCCCCTTGCCGCCACACTCGCTCTCAGCATCCCGGCAATCTTGCCGCTCTTGGCGTTGTAGGGCAAACCTGCGGCCTGTGATGTGATTGGATTGCCGCCTTCTTGGACCCTCCAACCGGTCGGTTCTTTGACCTGTTGTTTGCTTGCTTCGTGGGTATAAAAAAGGCTTGTGCCGCTCACTCGAATTGAGTAAGGAAATTTAAAATTATTAAAGACACCTCACAAACACTGTGAGCGACCTTCAAAGGATACACTTTTAATTTGCGTTCGGAGCTTTGCACTCCACGCAATAAATTTCAATGACCCCAAACCGCCTCGGATTTCTGCGATCGGCATGCTAGTTTTTACTCAAGTGGTCGATTTGGCGGACATCTGTTACATTGTCAGTGTTGTTAACTTGGCCCACGCACTGGGGTACACAGAGAGGTCATATCCTGCGATTCCCCTTCATATTTGGCCAACCAAAACTATGACATAGTTTTGGGGGCCCCAGACATGTGAGATAGATACACGAGCATTGGGACATGGAAAGGTGCCGAACTCTTGGACGAGGCCTCGACATTTGTGACTTCTGGCCTCCAGGTTCAGCTGCCCGGCGCAGCCGGTGCGGCCAATGGCCATGAGCACGGTATCGAAGATCTGGCCAAGACCGGTTGGAACACAAGGGTGTGTGTGTGTGTGGAGGGCATGTGTGTGTGTGTGGAGGGCATGTGTGTGTGCTGTTTGTTTTTGGCTAGGTCGGAAAATTGGGACGCTGACATTGCCTGATGTGCTGAAAGCCGCACGTTTGTTCTGCGACGCAGCAGGCGGGGTTGCGGGGGGGGGGGGGGGGTGGTTCCGTTCGTGTTGTCTGTCATGTGTCGTGACCTGTGTGGACGCAGCTCAGGTACAGCGCTCCCAGGCGCGCAGCGCATGTTGTCTGCAGGGCGCGCGCAGTTTCTGTCCGTTCATTACGCAGCAAAGCAGCCGTGGGCGGGGTGGGGTGGGACAGGTTCAGGACAGGAGATTGACTTTATTAACACGTGTTGAGCAGCTAGCGCAGCTCCTGGTGTCTCTTCGGTGCGGTTTTGCCCTCTCCTTCGTGGTTTGCGTCTTGCCGATGGGTGCCAAATGCACCTTCGCTTGGGCGCTGCCGTATGGACACTAACTGAGGTCTCCTCGGTCTTGTGCGGGCTATGGGCGTTCCAGCATTGCGCTGCATGGATGTCAGGATTGGATCCTTCCAGCAACAGCAAGTCCTGAAGCCGCCCGTGAAGCGCAGAGCCAACCACCAATTGATCCCATGCATGCCCCAAGGCCTTCTTCCTCCACTTTACTCAAGTTCACTGGAAAGTCTGGCTATCGCGGCCGCCCGAGCGCTAGCAAGCAGTGCCAGGCATGAGGCGCTCAGTGGCCACATTCCATGCCCAGGGCTTTGGTTCAAGCCTCCAGCCTGCCGCCGAGAGGGTTCCTAGCCCAAAGTTCATGACGAGTGCTCCACGAAAGTCCAACTCTCAGCAACAGCTGCCAAGCCTGGCGCAAGGAGAAAGAGTTCGAGACAACATCTCCCAAGGCTCCAAACCGCGGCTTCGGAAGAAGCTGGTCTGCCATTGGCAGACCTAGCTGCAGCTGCTACCCAATCAGCTCGGAAGTTCTCTTTCTCAGCAATGTACTTTTCGAGAAACCCGGAAAGTTCTGCAAAGGAGGAAAGACAGCCCAAATGCCAGGTCAGAGTCTCAAGAACTGTCATCGTCGTTGCGGAGGGTTTACCAACAATGCCCCCAAACCATCCCACAACAAAAGGCCTATGTCACTGTGCAGTGAACCCTAGTAGCCATATATGTTTGATTATTATTATATAGCTCAAAACGGGCAAGTGCTTGAAAACCGACTTGCTTGTTGAAATGGCAATCGGTTGCTCTTTGAAGAGAACCAAGGATGAATCAAATCTGGTTGACAAATTGGGGGTGGGCCAAACTGGAGAAGGACCCTTATCCGCCAAGTTGATTTATCAAATGTCAATGAATGGGAAACCAACCAGGAATAACGCAGACAGTGTTCGGCTTTGACATGTTCGGAAAGGGGGCTTGGTTCAATTGGCTCTGTTTGGAGGTCGATGCATATCAATGGTTCTTTGCTCGGGCGAACAGGAAAAGGACCTCTGACATGGTTATAGACAGGGATATTGATATAAACCCGGCAACGCCCATAACAAGGCTATTGAACCGCAACCCAAGCCCAAGCGCGGGCAAACCAAGTCCATTCAGCGTCGCCGACCGCAATGCCGCAAGCCGCGCCCCGTACTCCGCATCCTTCACGAAGACTTTTACCTGACAAACAAAGGGGGCTGAATAATGCTTTTGGCGAGTAAACAGGGATCTAAGTACCTCTGTAGAAGGTACCAAGGGACCCTCTGGGAAACATTGTGGCCGTCAAAAGGTGCGCCGAAGCCGTCTAAGAGCCCCTAAGGTTTTAAGAACCCTTCGTAGGCGGTCTCTAGTTATTCCCCAAAACAAGGCGGTCTAAACAAATTATCAGCTTGTGGGAAAGGTTCAGGGTGCGCTTCTGTGGGGTTCAGGGTTCCCTGATTCATCGGCAAATTCCATTCGTTTGGGGTATGCCATTCGCTCGGGGTGGGCTCCAGGGGGCGGCTCTTTCATGCCGGCTTTCTCTACAAAATAAAACCGAATACCCATCCGCTTTTGGCTTCAAGCACTGGGCAAATCAAGCACTGGGCAAATCAAGCATGGCGTTGTTCTTTCTTCTTTTTTTTCCGCTTAAGTGTCAAGCACTGCTCAACAAACATCTCCTGCATGTAAGATATAAGACATTGCACGCCTTGGCATCTGCCACAAACGGTCTTGAACGCGAGGGCTTCAAACAACCACCCGGGTGACCCCCTCAAAACCTCCCAAAACGGGCTCCCTATCTTGAGACACCCCATGGCAACCAGTGAGGACAACTGATCCGAGCGGTGCTTTTGGTTTGATCTATAGGTCAATCTGGCGAGCGGGGAGAGTTTCGTTTCCCAAAACGTTGCAAGGTCTTCCATCCCCAACGTTACGGCCAGCCCCTGAGGTTTGCCTGTGCCACGAACCAACGCCCCGACACAAAAACCCTAAACCTAAACCCTAAAACCATTAATCTAAACCCTAAAAACCCTAAACCTCAACCCTAAAAACCAGAAACCTAAACCCTAAAAACCCTAAACCTAAACCTTAAAACCCTAAACCTAACCCTAAACCCAAACCCTAAAAACCCTAAACCTAAACCCTGAAACCCTAAACCTAAACCCTGAAACCCTAAGCCTAAACCCTAAAAAACCCAAACCTGCTTGCAGAAACCTTCATTCTAAAAACCCTAAACCTAAACCCCAAAAACCCTAAACCTAAACCCTAAAACCCTAAACCTAAACCCTGAAAACCCCTAGACCTGCCTGCTACCCATGCGCTCGTGGCACCACGGGCCCACGTTCTGAAGAGAACGCAGGTCACCACTTGTCAGGTGTGGCTGCACGAGTTCTGCTACTTGAGTAGTAAAGGGTGCCATACTTGAACCACGTGCTGGACAAGGGTGGATTAGGGGGTGCCGGCAAACCACGGGGGCTGTGGGCAACGTTAGCGACAGTTGTTGCTGCTCAAAATGAACAGAAGTGAGTCATAATCAAACCCCGGTATTAAAATGGTCGACCCAGAACCATGTAAAGAATCAAGAAGGCGGCCGCAGCTATGATTGTTTGGGATTGGCCCTTACTAACCTTCATCTACCCGGGTTTCGATTGTGGCTCAAGTAAGAAACCACACATCAGTAAACAAGAACACTGAGGCAATTTCGGTCCAAACAAGCGGCAATGTAAGGACCTGTGCAAGCGCCTTGCCGTCATCCGTCTTTTCGAACTTGGACGGCACCATCTCCTCAGCAGCCGGCTACTTGGCGAGTTCGTCCCGGCAGAAAGGGGACACATCAAACAAAAACAGAGTGTTTGCATGTATACACCTCTGCATTGGATAATCTCAGTGTAAGTGTATGACAATTATGTGTGATGTGTACATGCTTATGCATCATGTCATTATATATATATATATATAATGTCTATGATAGTCAGCCAAATGTTGCATGAGGAGAACTGTCCAACTGCTGGGGATTCGTTATGATTAGCTTCAGCAGATCGAGTTCATGAATGCCTTGCTCGAACATCAAACCGGTTTGTGGCAAGGTTGGGTTGTGCAAGGCCGTCATAAGGCCGTAGTATTGGCACGCGCAAAGACATTTCAGAAGTTGCCCATCGCGGATAAGCAATGGACCATGTTCTTCCTCTCTTGCTTTGGCCACAAGGGAAAGTAAAAATCAAAGGCTCACCAAAAAACAAAGAACGCGCTTGTCCAAAAGGTGATGCTTAATATCACAAGGGTGGCATGCAATCGGGCAATGCTCAGATTCCTGGCAAACTGCTTTGTCTTCATCAGAACCTCACACATTTTGAGCCAGGCCCGCATTAGTGCTGGCTTTGCCCGTTCCCTTTGAAGATGCGCAAACGGAGGGGACGTTGAGTTGAAAACACCGTCGGCTGATTCAGCCAACAGAGGCCAGCCCAATCCCTGTGGCCGTCAACATCGGGGGACCCAGCCACGAAAACACACACACACACACACAGTTGCTAGGGGTGGCAAATTGCACCTGCGCGTACTTGATTGCAAATGGGTACAGAAGTGGCCGCCAAAAAAACAACATTGTAACCAACAAATGCCTAAGCTGCCTGAGTTGATGAGGCATCGCACAAATTCCTACCTCCCGATTTTACCCACCTTGAACCCCCTAGGGCCCATATGAATGTGTGAGAGTGGAAGGATGTCTGTGCCCTTGCTTCCCCTGCGACAGCCATCTGCAAAGTTGGTATATACAATCTAGCCAAAGAGTATGCAACTGAATGTGCAAACATGAAACTGGAAAGTACCGTTCTCTACCCGCCCTGCAGGACTCCCACACATCTATGATCATTCACCGGCCGGAAATTCTCGACACCTCACTAAGGTGAGCCATCAAGTGCGGGATTCCCTTGGGACACTCCCGCATGAATTCGGGCATTCTATCCATTTCAAAGGGGGTTTGGATGGTTTAGCAATCTTGGCTCCCACCAAAGACGTCAAATGATCCACATGGATCTGATCCCCCTGAGTGCTGCACTCGCGCGAAATTCACCCCGTGCTTCTCCATGTAGGTGCCGATCATGTTCGAAATGTCCTAGCGACAAGCTGGTGACCGGGAACAAATTGTCAACCTGGCACTTCGAACTTAGTGTCCTCCATGTTGGATGTTTGGCACCAGCAATTTTACCATGTGACTTGTGTCACACAAACCACCGACGAGTTCTTCAAGAATGGTCGGTGGTCATAACTCCCAGCATAAATGATGCCCACCAAAGCTTTTTTCCCAATCAAAATTCACACTGTACCAGTCATGGCCATTCCACTTGAACACCACGCGGGGAATTAGGAGCAATACCCCAGGCAAATGGAAACACCATACCAAGTCTAGACACCAGATTCTTCCAGCGTGTCACTGAAGACCCTACTTCCAGGAACCTCAGTTTCCACGATAGTTGGTGAGGTAGATGCCCGGCCTGAACTGTGGGCGCCTGCGGTCTCGTGTTTTTGGCTTGATCTCATTTTTCGGCACCAAACCAAACCCGGAATTTGAAGAAGAGCTGCGTCCGCGACCTCTTGGACATGGACAGAAAATGAGCCCGAATCATCCCTTCCAAGCTTTCGCATGGACCGCAAACTTCGAGCCCCTGCAACAAGTGAGGGGATGGAACCCTACTGATACCTCATCGCGTGATACATATGCCAGCTCTCCGAACCGAAAAAAATCAGGTAGAGGAGAAAACCAAATATGTAAATCCCTCATATCCAAAGCCTGGACCACTGTGGATTTTGCCCCAGCCTCAGTGACTCAGGAAAAAAAAGGCAGGTCCTGATCGAAGCCTCGCAGCAAAATGGAGCGCACCTGGCAGGTGTCCGCTCGCTGAAAGAGACTGGGGCAAGACTCAGTGGCCTCTGTGTTTTGGGGGAGAACCCCCTGTACCAAAAAAAAGAAGCCAAATGTCTTTCAGGGTCCCAAATTCAAAGACAAGGCTCCAAAAGCGCCCATCTGAGTAACTTCTTCACCTTTGGTTGCCAACGCCCAAGTGAGCCCTGGGCGTCCCAAGCCACCGCCCAAGGGCGCGTTTTTGTCTTGACAGCTGCGACCAGTAAACCGGAGCCGGGCTTGCTCCTTCCTGGCCTCCTGAACCCGGCCATCTGGGGTACTCCCAAAATATGTTTCGTTCTTTTTTTGCTTTCTCAGATTCTGTGTCACTTTAAAGCTTAGTCTACCCCAAAATACGGCCATGGGGCATAACCTATGGCGAGCCATTTGGGGTGGATGAACATCCAGTTGCCACTGATTTTGCTGTTCACCAGGGTACAGGGTTTTGACCCACAGCCACATGAATATGTTTGGAGGAGATGAACCGTTCCAAGAAAGCGACAGGGATGAAACCCGCTCAGCTAGCAACGCGAGGACTGACGCAAGACAAGTCGGCCTCCTTAAAATTTACCAACAACAAGGAGGTCCGAATCCCATCTTTACAAAAGTTCTGGAAAGGACAGCCGAGGGACCCATTACGATTTGTTTCTGGTGGCTTGGTCATAACTTTGAGGTCGGAGCGTTCATTGATACTCTTGGCCTCCCTTCGACATGATTGAGGGAAATACCTTTCGGGCTACCAAAGTGGGATGCAACTGAGGGGATCAGAACAAACAAAGCCACCAACACATCCCATCTTGGTCGTCCTTCCCAAGGCCGTGTGATTCCCACAACAGGACACACGCTCAGCGCCAACAGTTGGCCCACAGTTATCTTCCACTCACTTCCCAAGTGGATGGGAAGCACCCAGACTGTCCAAACCTTTTGCTCGTCAAATTTGTCTTCACAAATTGCTTTTAAAGCAAATCTTTCTGAGTGGATGGGCCAACAATTGTGCAAACCTTTGGTTCACCGATGGTCTGCACACCAATTTTACGGTCCATGAGCACAGTGAGTCCGAGTCCAAGCTGACCCATCTGGTTCCAATAACTTGCGCCGAGTTGGCCATGACGGTCACATCAAAGCCAAGCGCCGAGATGAAACCTGCGCACCTGAGTCACCAGCTGGGCGGCTCACGGTTGTGCGACCAGACCAACACTTCACTTCTGGGAGGGGGGGGGGACAATTGGGTCCACACCCACTATATGCCAGTATGTAAAATAGGTAAAGGCATATTTATGCATTGCTTTTAAAAAAATAATAATAAAAAATGATAATATAATATACATACCCCGGGGGTAGACTAGGTCCTCCAGTAAAGAGGTTAGAACAAGGGTACCCTTTTTTTCTGTAGTCTATTTCAGTAGGGTAACCCTCCCCCAAAAAAAGAAACGGTGAGAAAGGGCACTGCTGGGGCACCTGGTAGAGGCTTGTTGGGTAGGGAACACCGTCCTATTGCGAAAGCAAGTGACTCCATTGAGCCCCTGCTTGCAGGAGCAAGTCCGCCACTTCCAGGTGGGCCCTGGCTGCGCCTTTTGAAGGGAACCCGACGCAAATCAAACGATGCCCGGTGAATTTGTCAGGGCAGAAAAAGGCATCCATTTTTTGGTTGGCTGAGTTTAAAGGGAACCCCAGGGAACTTTCCAGGCGAAAAAAGGGTCTCCTTTTTTTGGTTGGTTGAGTTTAAAGGGAACCCTTCAAGGTAACCCTTCCCCCCCACAAAAAAAAAGGAAAAAGGAAGCAACCCACTGGGCAACGGGGGGATATCGAACCCATTTTGTCCTTCCGAGAGCCTACTAAAAAACTCTTGGTGCCGGCCGCTTCTTGTATCTTTCTCGCATTGGTCGACTGGTCGACTTTCCAAAAACACGTACGTCATGACCCTTCCGCGCGACCATGCTGGAAATGGTTTGAGCACCAACATACGGTTTCGGCCGGCTTCAGCAATCAAGCCCAGGAGTATCCCCAACAGCCCACAAAGCTCCCCAGAACCTGCCTCAAATCTGAAGCCAGGGCCGCCCAGAGTTTAAACACGCCCAGAGTGTAAAAAACCGTGTGACTAGAACACCAGCCCCATCTTCCACCAAAGACATGGCGCGACGAAGCCCGCTCCGACTCAGGGTCAGCTTTCGCCGTTCCTTTCTGGCTGAGCGCATGGCAAGCTCTGCTTGTCGCTTTCTCCATCAAACGGGTAAACAAAAAGTTGCTCTGTTTTTGAGCTGGCGAAAGTCTCCCTCCAGTTTTCGGGAGACGAGGCCATGAAGGACTCCCTTGTGTATTCACCTGGAACCCGGAAATTGGTCAGCAAAGCTGTCAGGACAAAACCCGGAGGAGAAAGATCGTGGTTGTTGTTCTTCCCCAAACCCACCACCAAAACTCGCAGGCAACTTTTTTGCAGCAGCGCGCATCACCGGCAAATCTTGGCAACGAGGAGAATGCCCAGTCTGGTAGAACCCACCTAGTGCTACTTTGCAACCCAAACCTTCGAACACGCCCCTATTGAGAGGACGAGGTTATAGGGGCAACATTAATCTGCTGAGTTCGCCCAGTTGCTCACTGGATTTCACCCTTCCCTTCGTGTTGCATGGGCAAAGGAGGGTTTCGAGGTGATTCCTCAGCTTCAACAAAATGACTGTTAGCCTCGGCAACTTCCATGGCAGGGTGATTGTAACCGACCTCAAGTGTGTACAGGCTGATCCCGGGAAGCGCCTCAGGCACAAAAGCTTCCTCTTCTCGCGCACTCTCCCTGGATCAGCCAAACTTTCGACAGGCGAGGCGTCAAGATCAGTGGGCCACGATTCGAGACCACCCTATGGCACAGCCCAGCCAGTCTGCCAAAAAGCTCACTCCCACAAAGCGCGGAGAAGCGCCCTTAGGCCGCGATTCTCGCGCAAACGCGAAACCACCACATGTGCATTTGGGCCCTCGAGCTACCCTGAAACATGGGATATGGCCCCATCTGCTCGGGCGATGTTGGCCATGTTTCAAGGTAGCTGCGGGCTCCAGACCCTAGGTGTCCTTTTAGGGCAAATAGATGGCCCTGGTAGATTAAACCACCAGGTAAACCAGGAATCGCCCTCTATTTTTCTACCAAAAACAACCAAAAAGGACACCTATGCTCCAGACATTGAGAAAAGATCCCGAGGTCCGTGCGCCAGTGCCGAGAAGAAAAAAAACGTCGCTGGCAGACGAACTTTGCTGGACAGGCTCGCTGAGCAGAACGCCAGCCGCAGCAGCTTCTGAGAAGTGATCGAAATACCACTGAATTGGGGAAGATCTGGGTGCGTCTCGAAACTTGGAACCTTTTGGCACGGATTTCAAAGGATTTGACTACATTGAACACCATCGTTGCGCATGCGGCCTGCCGAGAACTGCAAAGGGCAATTCAGTGTCTCAGCCTCACCTCAGGCGACGAATGCAGTCAGTGCAACCCAAACCCCCACACCCCCTGGAGGGGCCGGTGCTGTTTTCCGACCCCAACCTGTCTGAGGGTTCTTGTACACCCTTGAGAAATGACCTTTAAAATGGTTCAGAATAACACGGTTTTATCCGGACATGTGCCTAAATGAGTTCAATACCCAGTGGGTGTATTCCCAGGGTGTAATACCAAAACCCTTAGAACCTGCTTTCGGGCCTGGAACCTAAGAGGCGAAGGTCGACAACAACAGGTTTGTGGTGAAAGCAGAGTCCCCGGCACTAAGATGTCAAGATTGTGAGCCAAAGATATATGACTCCTACAGTGGGACCCTGGCAAACCTTTGTTGCCTTTCCCGAATCCAGTGACCCCGGCACCCAAACTGGTCAGAGATTAAAGGACACCAAAGGGAGCTGGCGCATTAGCCTGGACCTCGGGAAACACCAGAAGCTTAAATGGGAAACAAACAGATCGAAGCTGGTGACCCACCGAAGACATTCTCTCAGCTTTTGCCCCAACCACAAAACACACACACACACACATATTGAACCATGGTCCGTATGTGAACCTGAAGATGTGAGATTGGTTTCCTCACTTCCTGAGTGGATGGGCCAAAAAAAGTCCAAACTGTTTGTTTGCCACCCAAATGGTCTTCCCAAAAAGTGGCTAAAGTCCACAAACCCAGGAAGTGAGTTTCAAAAGAGATCACCAAGGTGCCTTAGACTGGCCATTCGTAGTCTCGAGACTCTCGAGACTCTGGGCTGCCGACAACGACGATGGCCATGGCCAGTAGGGGCACCTGAAATGCGATTGGTGCGCCTTTAGGTGAAACCTTGGGGCTGAACAAAACAATCATGGCTGTGGCCCCAAAAATTCGGTATCAATTGAAATGGCACTTTGGTAAATAGAAACAAAGACCAAAACCTGTGTAACCCCTGCTGCTTAATTTTTAAGCCACACCCAAGTCCAATTTTTAGTCGTACAAGCGCCGAACAAAACTAAATTGGAACCAATCATGAGCATCCCCCTCCCCGATTCCATTCAGGGAGTGTTGAGGGGGGAAAATCCACTCTCCGAGCGCTGAAACACAACGCACTCAAGGACTACAAGCTATTTCGCAGCATGTTCCAGTCCATCTCTGCGCTCATCTCAACCCATTGAACGCAAGCCATAGGTGGCAGCCGGGCAAGCTGCTAACATGAGGTGCTGACAGGCCGCAAGCAAAGGATAACCTAAAGGGACAAAATGGACAAGCCGTAAAGTGAAGTGGCAAGCAAGTACATTGTTTCACGATCGTTGTGTGGAACCCTTGAGCCTAAGGTAATCCTACCCTAGACCTTGCCCCCTCTGGCCCACCCCCAAGGGACACCCAAACTCATATGTTTTGACGATGTTTCAGTCAAAAATGAAATTGGGGGAGCGCGTCGCGAACTGTAGGTTGGGTTGCGACGTGCTTTCAAAGCTCGGTTGCTTTCTGCTCCCCCGCTAAAAGTTTAACCTTTAGTGGTTTAATGGAAAACCCATTAGTTGGCAAAAAGTTAAAGTCCTAATATCCCTTGGCAAGATGCACCAAAGAAAGGGCCTGCGGTCTACAGGGCGGTCACCCCAAAGACCAGTCTAGTGCTACCTTCCCATTCTTTCCAGGGATCCTTCTTTCTACAAAACCTCCGGAAACCCGGCGAAACGGCCGGTATTGGAAAAGAATGATGGTTGGAAAGAATAGAGAATCGTCTAAGCCCAGAGTGTCCAAGTACCTTCTAAGGAGGTACTGAACGACCCCTTTTTACCCCCCAGAAGTCATCCTCAGGAAGTACTTGGACCCTCTGGGAAAGGGCGGTCTACGGGCGGTCACCCCAAAGACCAGCCGCGTTTACCCCGCTCTTTTGTCTGAGGCGGCAGCCGCCGCCGAGAGCAGCGGCAGCGGCTGAAATCGCACGCCTCACGTGGAGAGAGCTGCGGCTGAGGTTTGTTCTTTACGCATCCGGACCTTGGCAAAACGTCTGTATTATGGTTCATCATTACTCTACCGCAAAATAGAAAACAAGTCAGGGAGGAGACCTCAGGGACCCTCAAACTAGCCGTCAAGATGGGAAATCACATCATATGCGTTGGGAAATATGATTTTGTAAGGCGAGGTACTTAATGTAAAAAATGATATTGTTCCTTACAACATGGGTGATTCCCTAGCCGTTTTGGCGTTGCTTGAGTCCAGGTTGACAATGCGTTTCGGAACAGGTTTGCCATATGCTCCTGTGGGCTATGTGCCGTGCCCATCGGAAACAACAAGCATGATTTGTTGTTTAGGATTCTAGAACGTGCTTAGAACAGGATAGCTATGTTGCCCAAAAGGAACACGCCAACAAGGGCATACATGCAACCTAAAATATGTTATACAAAAAGCGATAGGAAAGGTTCCCCATCGGAGAAACAAACACGCGCACCCCACAAACACAGACACACACACACAAACACAGACACAAACACGCATACACGCGCAAAGACTCACAAACACACAGACGCACACAGAGACACAAACGCGCAAACAAACAGACACACACACACACACAAACACACACACACACACACACCACACACACACACGCACACGCACACGCACACGCACACGCACACGCACACGCACACGCACACGCACACGCACACGCACACGCACACGCACACGCACACGCACACGCACAC